TATATAATATCCACTATTCGTCTCGAAAGTCTGCTTGTAAACAAAAAAATAAGAAACGTAGTCGATTACTAAAGCAAATACAACTTTGCTTCGACGATAATTCCACCATATAAATGTGATATGAAAAAGGCCTAGGGATATTGAAAATGCCCTTCTGCTATGTGAACCAAGGGCGCTCGTGGTAGTGTGGCGTAGTTAACTTGCCGAGACTTTACACTGCACTGATAAAACGAGTCCAGGCGAAGTGGAAGCCGCAGTCCACTTCAGCCTGGATGTGAATACCTTTTGGAAAGCAAGGCTATGCGAAGTTCAATGGCAACGCGAGGGCTACTCATATGATTATGGGAAAATTCAACCATTAGTCATTCATCAGCTTGAACGAAAATGGGTGAATACATCTTATATAACTGATTTACTGGTAGTCTCGAAACTCTACTTATAAACGAAAAATACTCAAATGAGTCAGGAAACAATAGTTAATTTAAGCATTCCTTGGATTGTCGAGTTTGCTTGGATAACTGGCCTCATGCAACTCTCAGTAGAGAAGGGATAGAGGTACTTATGAATTTTCTTGTTAGATGAAGATATTTCTTTAGTGCTATCAGTAAGCCTTTAATAAGAACTATCAAATTGTGATCCTTAAATCACTTTAATCGACCAAGTTCTTATTTTTACACTATTATGCTTAGAAGCGTTATCAAGCAGACGTCGTCATGGCGAGAAATACAAACACAACGCCTTAATATCAGCAAGATTAGCGTTATCGTGACAACATATTATGACCAGGATTTAGTACCCATCATCGACCATTCGAACAGTGTCCTCCCGCCAACATGTGGTTGCGTTGCCGGCTGCAAAGAGGGCGGAAGAACTGAGTCACCTCGACAGCATTTATCATCACGTTGGTCGACTGGCAAGTCGTAATGCTTTCGAACAAGAGAAGTCTTCCTTCTATCCCCCTCCGTGATGCCTAATAATTTGGAAATATTCACGCGAAAATGTTCGTCCAAAACAATAAGTACTACCGATATGAGGCTAGAGAGCCGTCTTTATACTTTGCCCAACCACCTATGCTCATACCCTTATGTCATTAGGGCGAAGACTCTAGACGTATTCTCGTGTATGTACTCTTTGTATGTCTTTCTAAATAAATATTCCGCAGTATGAATCAGGCTACTAATAAAAGACCAATAGAGTGTGCAGTTTGTAAGGCCGCCTATGGGACTGCCCAGAAGATTCGTTGCCACCGCATGTCTAATTGGCACACTTCGGCACCTGAGGTTGATCAAACTTGCCGACAAGGTTATGCTTCATTTCCTGTGATGCGCCAATTAATCAGATCTTCGCGTAAGTGGCCTCCTCCTCGGGTGGCTCTCTTTCGTAGGCTGCAACTGGAATCCGTAAAAAATCCACCTACTGCTTTGGATTAGCGACTATTATTACCACTAATATACTAATGTTATTTAAAGCTGAGTCTATAGAGCAACCAAATCATCTAGTGATTGGAGTTCCTTATCAAATGGCACTCATATGTGCCCGCTAATAATACTTTGATGAGCTTCCGGACTGAAAGCTAAAGATGTAGGCGGTATTTCTAAAAATAATAGAGTACATTAACTCCGAACCAATGCCTGCCTGACCTCACCCGTGGCCAGGCGAAAGTCCTTGCAAAATAAAGACATTCAGAATGGCAGCAGTTAGACACCAGGTCAGGAGTGCTGCCGGAGGAGCCAAGGCAGCACAATGAAAGCGTGGTAACGATGCCTAGTTTGACGTGAAAACTATTTTCGGAGTAAAAGTATATTTTGAGTCCAGGGTCTATTGAATAGGCGATCGAATGAGCTCACTCAATGAATAAGGCTGATTTGGGCCACTTGAGGCAAGTTAATGACTGATAGTTGAGTACCTCCTGCAGCGTTGAGGGTAGGCCTCACGATGCCAGCGAACTCCACGCAGCAAATGCAGGCGAAAAAACTTTTTGGGAGGCAAGGCTAAGTTTGATTTATTGGAACCGTGAGGCCTATTCATAGTAATGTGTAAAGACTCCACTATCAGTTGCGAAGTCACCTGAAGCGACTTTGGCTGAATGAGTTATTACACAAGAGCTGCATTCACTTTATTTCGTCAGCAGAGACGAAGGACTGGTAGTTTAGTCTATCCACAATCATTATGTTTCCATTAAACGTCACATAGCCTTGGCTGCAGAACGGTATTCTCGTCCCAGCTGGACTGGACCAAGTCTCATCAGAACCGTCAGT